AAGTGCAAACCCTCGGAGAACTGCGCATGCCGCCACACTGCTAATGATGGGCTTGGCAATCAGCGTGCATTTCTCCCGCTGACGATATCATGACATGAGTTGTAGTGTGAACACTGGCAAACCATTCTGTAGAGAAAGCAGAATTGTACATGTCTCCATCAGACTGCATATTGTTGAAAAGCCTCAGGCAGTTTCTTTAACTATTATTATTTTATAGGGGGCTTGCCCCCTTTCACAGAGATATACGTAGTAGTATATAAAATGAGTGTAGACAAGTAAATAAAAATCCTGTGATTTAAAAAAGAAGGAATGTAGGGATGGTACAAAAAGAAAAATGAGACAAGATATGGACGGAATATAAGGAATAGCTTCAATACATATATAATAAAAAGCACTGAAGTGCAAACCCTCGGCGCATTGTGACGCGCACGCGTAAGTAAACGCATGCGCCGTACCACTAATTGATGGGCTGGGTTTAGTTTTAGCTGTTACTCGTGGTCTCTTCCCAGCTCGCGCAGAGTCTGACGCGGGCTAACTACACTACTAGATAGCATGCGAGAGGCGATACACGCCCTGCGTTGCATCTTCTGGTGCCTCTGAGGTACGCAGAGCACGCGGATCGATCAGACCGTGGTAAGCCGTCCCCGTCCGTTGCCTATTTGCATATTAGCTTTTTCGCGCTCTAGCTCTGCAACGGAGCAGTTTCAGAGAAAACCCCACATATTTTCTGACCTTCATTGCCCGTTCAGTTGGTGGTATCCTTTGTGAGACGAACGAACACTCGAGAAGTGAGATGACGAGTAACAGACACACACACACACACACACACACACACAGACAGACAGACAGACAGACCCAACTACCGTAACCCTCGCTGCGCATGCGCGCCGAGGGTTAATTATACATTGTGAGGTATAGGGGACACAATCCCTATACTGTTGCCTAGGTGCAAGTATATGAGTTGCGAGTTCAGCACAACCATACTCAGTGATACACATTGTAATTTGCATTCCACTACTGCAGAGTATGATGGTCTCGTGCTGCCGCTGCACTTCCCTTTGTTGTGCAGCGGCAGCACGAGACCATCATACTCTGCAGTAGTGGAATGCAAATTACAATGTGTATCACTGAGTATGGTTGTGCTGAACTCGCAACTCATATACTCTGCACTAGGCAACAGTATAGGGATTGTGTCCTATACCTGCACAATCTATAATTAACCCTCGGACGCGCGCATCCGCAGCGAGGGTTACAGGTAGTTGTCTGTCTGTCTGTCTGTCTGTGTGTGTGTGTGTGTGTGTGTGTGTGTCTGTACTCGTCTCATCTCACTTCTCGAGTGTTCGTTCGTCTCACAAAGGATACCACCAACTGAACGGGCAATGAAGGTCAGAAAATATGTGGGGTTTTCTCTGAAACTGCTCCGTTGCAGAGCTAGAGCGCGAAAAAGCTAATATGCAAATAGGCAACGGACGGGGACGGCTTACCACGGTCTGATCGATCCGCGTGCTCTGCGTACCTCAGAGGCACCAGAAGATGCAACGCAGGGCGTGTATCGCCTCTCGCATGCTATCTAGTAGTGTAGTTAGCCCGCGTCAGACTCTGCGCGAGCTGGGAAGAGACCACGAGTAACAGCTAAAACTAAACCCAGCCCATCAATTAGTGGTACGGCGCATGCGTTTACTTACGCGTGCGCGTCACAATGCGCCGAGGGTTTGCACTTCAGTGCTTTTTATTATATATGTATTGAAGCTATTCCTTATATTCCGTCCATATCTTGTCTCATTTTCTTTTTGTACCATCCCCTACATTCCTTCTTTTTTAAAATTCACAGGATTTTTATTTACTTGTCTACACTCATTTTATATACTACTACGTATATCTCTGTGAAAGGGGGCAAGCCCCCTATAAAAATAAATAATAGTTAAAGAAAACTGCCTGAGGCTTTTTCAAACAATATGCAGTCTGATGGAGACATGTACAATTCTGCTTTCTCTACAGAATGGTTTGCCAGTGTTCACACTACAACTCATGTCATGATATCGTAGCGGGAGAAATGCACGCTGATTGCCAAGCCCATCAATTAGCAGTGTGGCGCATGCGCAGTTCTCCGAGGGTTTGCACTTCAGTGCTTTTCATTATTATCTGTAATGACCGACTGGCTGTGCTATATTGCTGCTGCAATGTTGTACGTGATTCCAAATATGTGAAGTAATCACAAATGTACATACAGTATAATGCAATGACTCTAGCTAGGAGGAAAGTAAAGAAGGGAGGCATGTCACTATATTAATTTTTTAGGGTTTACCAACAACAACCAGATATATTGATAAGCTATCCATGGAAGCTTACTTATGAGTGTTTCTCTTTTGAGAACTACAACCATAGGACTATAATTGCTATGTTGTAGCCACCAAGGTGGTCATTTGCAGTTTCTATCCTGCACAGCTGGAGAGGAATGGCTACCGTGATGAGAGGCAGTACCCAATGGGTTTGGTCTTGGTCCCAACTAGAGAACTAGCTTCCCAAGTCCACTCCGAGGCAGTAAAGTACTCCTACCGCTCCCTTATCCGGCCTTGTGTTGTGTACGGAGGGACCAGCATCACCACTCAGATGAGAGATGTGGCTAGAGGCTGTGTTCTGCTGGTGGCCACCCCAGGAAGACTGGTTGACTTCATAGAGAGAGGCAGGATTGGACTTGACCTATGTCGGTTAGTAGTGGTAGTAGCCAATATCAATGGATATCCTTGATAACTGAATGTGTATCCCTCCATAATCATGTATTTTCCAGTCATGGCAAATTCTATCTTTGCGAAGGGAGGTGGGCACGGGTTAACTCAGGCAGTAGTTTTTTGACACTACCCTCAAGCTATTGTTTGGGAGAGGAGGGGGTTAACTCTTTAGGGTCCATAGCACCATTTGGCGACAATTATTGCGGACCCTTCGGGCCCATAGCGCCATTTGACGACATGCCGGTGTACTGCAGTACAGCTAGCTTACCTAGGAAGTGATTCGTGCACAGCAGGAAGTAGCCCATCGTCCGGAAGCACAATAGACCCAGCTGTCAAGCGGTCAACAAACCAGAGGTTGAAAGGTCGTGCAGCCTAGGGGTGACGCCCACAAACATCGCGTAAAAACTGCGCAATTGGTGCGTGCCTCGCATGGTAGCGTGAAACGATCCACGGATTTCCACAGACTGTCAAAAGCATCCAAATGGAACGGAAAGGTATTAGAGAAGTATTCTATTCAAAAACCTGTGCTCTAACTTAGCAGTCTCGCTTGCTTCAGGATACATAGCTACTGTCATGTGAGTACATGCATATATTGTGTTATCAGGCTATAGCCACAGTGTGCATTAACAATTCAAAATATTTTGGGTTTCAGTGTTTCCCCATAGCCCATATCGTAAGTTGACGACAACTTTCACACTCACCAGTCACATACACTTGTCTGAGGCAGTAAGCAAGATTACAGTAGCCGAGTCCCTCGACAACACCTGCGATTTCTCTCCAGGTGGGTACTTTGGGATAGAGTTTCCTCAGCCATCCATCCACTACTTCCACCATTGCATCATGCTCACTGCTTACCTACGATATGGCACATTATTGTGGAATGAGCCGTGTAAACCAGTCATCAAATGAGGCTTAGCATAATGCTATGGGGAGTAAAGGAATATAAGTGATTTCACTTAGGGGGGTACTGCCCACATAATAGTGGGTGTTCTACAATAAACGTAAGTATATGTGCACATGAAGCTACTGTGCTAGGGTTTACTTCTCCGACCATTACTCAATGTCCTGCAATGCATGCACACTTTTTCTCTCAGTCTCATAGACTTGTCCTAATCATGTTTCTGTAAAAATATGTGGGGTCAGTGCCTCTTTGAACAGTGTATATAGCAAGGCCCCTACTTCCCCTTTCCTGTTTTCTATCTCTATATCAACTCTCAAAGCTTACATACCTGCTGTGCAAACTAGCCAGCCATGCAGTAGCCACACACCACACAGTCAAAACAAGCTATGCATACAAGAGCACTATATACTGTATAGAACAATTCTTTGGCTAGGGAAGAGAGCAGTTTAATATTTTGTGTGTTTTGCACTTCGCGCATATTTAGAATCACGTTACGGTCTGTGGAGTTGGTTTACCGCTACAGAAATGCTGCATTCAGACCACCACTAGGTTGGCTTGCTTCGCTAGCCAATTATGTCTCACATATTGAGCAATGTCGTCAACACCCTCAATCTCCAGGGACTCTGCCAGTCTCCTCCAGTCTGGGGCCACCTCTCCCAGCTGAATTAGTATCTGATCCAGACTCACACTCACATCTGAGACATGTGGGAAACATCAGAGAGGAGTAGCTTACTCTTGTTGAACCGCCCCACAACTGTGTGTTTGTATAGCTAACTGAGTTTTGGGCCATTCTATAGTGCATTACAAGTATGATGATAACATACTCACAAAAGGTATGTTATTGGTCAGCTTGTTCAGTAGTATTTTTTTATAGCACAAACAGTCTTGTTTACCAGCTTTTTTCTTGGTGTCAGACGGAAGAGGAGGGACAACTGCATCTGCCCACACCGTCACATACGCCACTCTCTGTCCATCCTGGGTCTGTAGGTGGTGGGACAGCTGGGATCATAGGATTCACCTTGGCATACACCAGACCCTAGCAGAAAAGATATATGTGAGGTGGATGATGACGGTACTGCTACTACCTTGGTTAGGACAGGTGAGTGATGGGGTATCGGTGGTGAAACTCCCGACACTGAAGCTCCATTACCCGTTATCTGAAAAGGAAGCAAATGTACACACACTGAAAGCATTTTATAGTGTAGTATAACAAACAAGAAGCGAGTGCAAACCTGTGTAGCATTGTTAAAGTGAGTCTCGTCCTGTGGCGATCCACTGTGAACAACAGAGTGCTGTCCACTGGTGGGTCTGAAGGCTGGGCTCGACGCCAACGGTCCCCGCTTCTTGGGTGGTGGTCTGCTCGACGGTCTGCTGCAGCATTACCTGTAGCTCTGACTCTGAACAGCATCTTTTGATTATTCGTGGGTTCCCCATGTAGTAATGTTTGTTTTGTTCAATTGTAACAATATGTCATGCGGGATATTCCAAGCCTGTGCATTGTGTATTGAGTGAATGAGTAATGGACTTTGAGCAAGAGTCAAATTTGATACTGCCATCATTAGATGTTTATGTACTATTAAAAATTATCACACGAATGTAAGTGCTACATTTCCCGGCTGGGAGTAAGCTGAAGGTAGCTACCTTGCCCTTTGTTAAATCCTCCCCTACAATGTCCGAGTGCATCACCTATGCCTCCACTCCTCTTCTTGGTCACCTCCACTCCCACTCTCATCATCTTCCATCCCTCAGCCTTGTCATTATAATCTCCACCCCTCTCCCTCGTCACCCCTCACCTTCGTCACATGGGTCTCCATCCTCTCCCTCGTCACCTATGGTCTCAACCCCTCTCCTCATCAACCTCTCACCTTCGTCACATGGGTCTCCATCCTCTCCCTCGTCACCTGCATCTCTCCCCATCACATTATGTCTCAACCCCTCTCATTTTTGGTCTACATGTACACATCCACCTTAGCGCAGTGCTTGGCATGTTTGAAAAATGGGTACAATAGGTTGGAAACTTGGTTGAAAATTGTGTGTGTAGAACTGCTTATAATAATGTGTATTATATGAAATAACCAGCAGTGCTGAACCAGGCAATGCTGAACTTGGTTGTCGTGGAAGCAAGCGAACCACAAGTTGTTATATAGCACGTTACTATGTGTGACTTTTCTTCTTATATTGTATATATTATATATCTGTCGTAAAACTAGGGAGAAAAAAACATTTGTACCAGGGGCTACTCCACCCCACTCCTTCGTCGTTTACCGTATGCAATCCTTTGTCGCCTATGTCTCCACCCTTCTTCCACATCTTATCACCTCTTTTTCCACCCGTTGTTCTCATCACTATTTTCTTTCTCCTCCTCTCCTGTAATAATAATATTATATATGCTACCACCCCTCACCTCCTGTCTGCTATGACTGCTCCAGTGGACCCTCTGATAAGGGACCCTCCGAGATAGGGACGACCTCTGTACCTAGGACACTTGTTTCAACCTCATGCTAATACTTATGGGGACGACCTCTCTATAAGGGACAATTGAAGCATTGCAACATTTTCACCTGAAATACGTTTGAATATGCTTTTACGGGGGAGGAGGAAGACAAAATTGTTGGCCCCATAGTGTCCCATCAGAGGTTGCACTGTAGATGGATCTGCCAACATCTGAGGTAAGGATGGCATATGGGTGTCAGGTGAGAGAATGAAGACAGGAATAAACTCAGAGCAGAGGAGACAGCAGGTATCCTTGTATTCTTTCCCCTACATTATGTTTCCTCTGTTAGTTCTAAAGTCCACCTTCCGTCATTTACCTCTCCTTATGTCTTCCAGTCAGAATTTCGGTGAGAGGGTGTACACTTAATTGAGACTTAGTTCTGGTCATGTGATGTTCAGCCAATCAGATCTTTCCATTTTGTCACATGCACGCCACTTTAGCATTAACTGGTTAATGCACTGAAAGTAGGCCTACTGAAAAGTGTGCATGCATTAAGTGGTTAATGCACTGAAATAGGCTACGAAAGTGCATGTGCATTAACTAGTTATCTTTAACACTTTTTACCACTTATCCAAAAATGATCAAAAACATTGAATCTCGAAGGGAACCTGACCTGTGCAAACCTGAATGTACCATCATTTTCTCTCCCGAGCAGTAAGGGGAGAGCAAGTCGTCAGGGTGAGTGTTTAACTCTAATTACAATCTGATTTGCTGAGGTTAAATGCACCACCATAATGTTTATAATGTGGTTCCAATAAGTGTGCTCAGACGGCGGATTGATAATGATTAATGCACGAACCTCAATGGCTATCAATCCGTCCTCGTGCACTATGAGTAAACCACATAATGCACTTCATTTTGTGTTTCCGTTTAGTTGCTCAGTTAGGGAAGAAGTAATCCTCCTGCCGATTTGGAAAACTTTTATTGTGCCTCCGTTGCAGCATCAGCTACACTGTCCTTCAACTGTCATAATCAATCGACATCAGAGAAGACTAAAATGTACAATTCTGGACAGGGTAGACAGAGAGGACCTTGAATTTCCAGGAAAAAGAAGTGGCAATGTATAGGTTGAAATTGCATTTGAAAAAATGAACCACTGTGATGATGTGATACAAGTTCAAAACCCTGTCAGTCCCTTTGTCTTTGTGTGGAATATCTAATGTGTTAGTCTGAACCTGCTAGAGAGATAAAAGAAATGATCATAACATTTCATTCTAGGTATACAACAGTTTAGGATAGCCTTTGTCTTCTATGCGAGAGAGTTCATCAAAATTTTGCTCACCCAAGCTTAGCTGGTAGAGGAGGAGGTAGTTCATCATTGTCATTCTCTAGTGGGTGTGATGGCTGGTCCACATTGTAGGAAGGAGGGAAGGGCTGGTCCTGTCGAAGAGAGAGGCATGGTGATGAAGGCTGATCGTCGTGAGGAGGGAGAGGTTCATGGTCGAGACGAGGAGGAAGGGGAGGTGGAGATGCACTGACAGGTACTGTCGGTGACACAGCGTTAGACACCTCGATTGAGAGGAAACCTACATGGGACATAACAGACATCTTTCCTAGCATTTCTATCTTAATACTTAACCAGTCACAGGCGCATAAATGTGTCCAGAGCCTTCATAAGTCTGTAGGAGGTTGTAATACTAGGCGCTAATGCTTTATACATCAATTTCTGCTTATTTAAGCGGATACACATGGCATCCAAAGGGTTATTAACATTCAACACTGCTCTACATGATGTTCGCGCATACACTGCTTAGCTGGTAGAGGAGGAGGTAGTTCATCGTTGTCGTTCTCTAGTGGGTGTGATGGTTGGTCCACATTGTAGGAAGGAGGGAAGGCTGGTGCTGTCGAAGAGAGAGGCATGGTGATGAAGGCTGATCGTTGTGAGGAGGGAGAGGTTCATGGTCGAGACGAGGAGGAATGGGAGGTGGAGATGCACTGACAGGTACTGTCGGTGACACAGCGTTAGACACCTCGATTGGGAGGTAACCTACATGGGACATAACAGACATAATCTTTCCTAGCATTTCTATCTTAACATTCAACACTGCTCTACATGATGTTCACGCATACACTCTGTTGAGTGTGAGACCACCGTTGAGTTACACAGCACTATTCAGATGACGAGGTGAGCTCACTTCACTCGCAAAAACCAATTTGTATTCACTTTGCTGCCATTACCGCAGCATGTAGCCCTACACATTGTGACAGTGCAGTCATAGAAAGGCTGCAAGCAGGGCTACAAAGGAACATGCGTTCTCAAAGAGCAGGATTTTGATGTCCTATTCATGATAGTACTGGGAAGCTGGAGAATAATATTTTGTGTTTGCAACTGGGGGCTCTGGAGCTATACTGCAGAGATGTATCAGCAGGCCTACCCTAATACCCATCTTTCTGAAGGTCTAAACTCTATAAACAGAGTGGTGCAGTGCTGGGGGAAAACCAGCGAAGTCTGTGCACCCTCCTTCACACAGAGACCCACCCTCCTTCACACAGAGACCCACTCTGTAATAGGATGGGGTACAATCCACCATGTTAGCCAACTGAGGCAACATGGCAATTTGGACAAGTGTGGAAAGTAAAGGAAAGCTACTTTCACTACACCTCGGGACCAATGCATTGAAGGCAGACCATTATGACGAATGAAAATGAAACACTGTGTTGCTATGTTTGATGACATAGGCATACATAGCTACTGTCATGTGAGTGGATGCATATGTTATCAGGCTATAGCCACAGTGTGCATCAACAAATCAAAATATTTAGGTTTCAGTGTTTCCCCATAGCCCATATCGTAAGTTGACGACAACTTTCACACTCACCAGTCACATACACTTGTCTGAGGCAGTAAGCAAGATTACTGTAGCCGAGTCCCTCGACAACACCTGCGATTTCTCTCCAGGTGGGCACTTTGGGATAGAGCTTCCTCAGCCATCCATCCACTACTTCCACCATTGCATCATGCTCACTGCTCACCTAGGATATGGCACATTATTGTGGAATGAGCCATGTAAACCAGTCATCAAGTGAGGCATTCTGAACTTAGCATAATGCTATGGGGTGTAAAGGAATATAAGTGATTTCACTAGGGGGTTACTGCCCACATAATAGTGGGTGTTCTACAATAAACGTAAGTATATGTGCACATGAAGCTACGGTGCTATGGTTTACTTCTCGGATCATTACTCAATGTCCTGCAATGCATGCACACTTTGTCTCCACCAATGTAATTGCAGAAGTCTGATAGACTCACAGTCTCATGACTTGTCCTAATCATGTTTCTGTTAGATAGCAAGGCCCCTATTTCCCATTTCCTGTTTTCTATGCCTAAATCCACTTTCAAAGCTTAGTACCTGCTGTGCAAACTAGCCAGCCATGCATGTAGCCACACACCACATAGTCAAAACAAGCAATGTCATATGCAAGAGTACTACTATAGAGCAACTCATTTGGCAAGCGAAGCGAGCAGTTTGATATTTTGTGTGTGTTTTCGGGCTTCGCGCATATTTAGAATGACATTACGGTATATGGAGTTGGTACACCGTTACAGAAATGCTGCAATAAGACGACTAGGTTGGCTTGCTTCGCTAGCCAATTATGTCTCACATATTGAGCAATGTCGTCAACACCCTCAATCTCCAGGGACTCTGCCAGTCTCCTCCAATCTGGGGCCACCTCTCCCAGCTGAATGAGTATCTGGTCCAAACTCACACTCACATCTGTGACATGTGGGAAACATCAGAGAGGAGTAGCTTACTCTTGTTGAACCGCCCCACAACTGTGTGTTTGTACAGCCAACTGAGTTTTGGGCCATTCCATAGTACATTACAGGTATTATGATAACATACTCACAAAAGGTTTGTTATTGGTCAGCTTGTTCAGTAGTATTTTTTATAGCACAAACAGTCTTGTTTACCAGCTTTTCTCTTGGTGTCAGACGGAAGAGGAGGGACAACTGCATCTGCCCACACGGTCACATACGCCACTCTCTGTCCATCCTGGGTCTTAGGTGGTGGGACAGCTGGGATCATAGGATTCACCTTGGCATACACCAGACCCTAGCAGAAAAGATATACGTAAGGTGGATGATGACGGTACTGTTACTACCTTGGTTTGGACAGGTGAGTGATGGGGTATCGGTGGTGAAACTCCCGACACTGAAGCTCCATTACCTGTTATCTGAAAAGGAAGCAAATGCACACACACTGAAAGCATTTTATAGTGTAGTATAACAAACAGGAAGCGAGTGCAAACCTGTGTAGCAGTGTTAAAGTGAGTCTCGTGCTGTGGCGATCCACTGTGAACAACAGAGTACTGTCCCACTGGTGGGTCTGAACGTAGCTCTGATTCTGAACCCAAATTACTCCTCTCAATTACTGAGTACTGTGCCAAGGGCATACCACTGTAACTGGAAGAAAAAAATCACGGCCAGGTCCAACGTATGAGTGTGTAGAAACTCACGTGTTCTGGTGTACAGTGTGTGTCACTTTTAGCCCTGCATTACACACCGTGATATGACAGAGACATTACCTGTCTATTACACACTCACTCGTGAAACGTCTCCATCGACACACCACTATAATGACCATACACGCACATACAATAGCAAAGAGAAGGCCTGAAACCAGCCCCGCCGCCAGCTTTTGTTGAATGGATTCACTGGGAATGGTTGGGGGCGGGGTAGTATTGCTGGTTGGAGAGGGCCTGAATTGACAAAAGTAGGAAGTAGCTGTAACAATCAGGAGTTAAGCTCAGTACATGAATCAGAGCAAGGACAAACACTACCTGAAGTTGTCAAGGTTTTTGGATTCGATGGAGATTTTGTACACAACAGGTCCATTGGGTGAGGGGACCATGATGAGTTGAGACATTGAGATGACATCGTCTCATTAGGAGTGTATCCATCATGACAGTGGAACTGGATCTCTGCTCCCTCCTCTGTACTCCTGTACTCCTCAATACTACCATTGACTGGTGATGATGGAGCTCTGCAGCCAGCTGGGGGAAAACCACAACCATGCAAATTACTATAGAGTTATTGCATGGGGAAACAAAATAACCCTTCCTAGCTACCTACCCTGCATGCTAGTCAGAGATACAGGGTAGCTGGAGCCAGCACAGTTGTTGGCAGTGATGATGATGGAGTAGACAGTGGAGTAGTCCAGTGAGAGAGGTAGTTCCAGAGACTCAGTAGTTGTCTGGACCACAGTCTGGTCCTCCTGGTAGAGAGAGAGGGTGTAGTTGTCAATCTCCACTCCTCCATCATCTCGTGGTCTCTCCCACCCAACTACCAGTGAATACTGAGATATTCCATACACCACTGATGATGTCAGGTTCCAGGGAGGTGAAGGCAATCCTAAAATAGAATGTAATTAAACAACTCCTTGTGATAGTCTTCTTTATACCTGCTATCTTTATGTATGATGGTACAGAAATATTGTTGCTTATCCCATTGTAGCAGAGAATTTGATAGGATAGTCAGTGAGGGAGGGGTTAACTCGTGTGTGGAGTGTTGAAGTCAAGTCACCGAGGAAAGAGTACTGCTGGTCTCGAGAGTAGTGTGTCAGATGAGGCAGTGAACTGGCCAGTGGAGTCAGTCTGAGTTGTGAGAGATGAGTCATCCGCCAGGTTGAAGAGAATAGTATTATCACTTGATCCAATGACCCAAGTCAGTCTTCCCGTAGAAAGTACAACACAGGTCAGGGTGACATCTTCACCAACACATGCAGATTTGCCAGCCAACTGGATGTTATTGTCTGCCCCTGTGTAGCTTCGACTAAAGTTGGCTCTAAAACTCCAATGGAAATTAGTACGAAGAAGACTCTCATTATCCTACCATGATACATCATGGCGTAGTGCCGCCCAGCACATTCGTCGTCGGTCAACGTGTGGTGGCCGTCCCCCGCGCGTATGCGCACGCTGCGGCTCTCTTAGCTGAGGGCCGCGCCTATTCGCGCAGCGCGTGTGCATGTGTGTGGCGCGAGAGGGACCCTAAAATGCGCACTGCGCAGTAGTAACTAGCATCTCTCGGTTCCGCTTTAGCTGCACTGAACTTGGATTGCGCGCACGTTACATCGGGTCTTGCGAATGGAAACTTAGTGACCGCGGCTCACCCTCGCAGCGCATGGACGCGGATACGTGACGTGCGCGAATAGGCTCTAACGCGCTGTTCCGACGCTACAACGGTTACACCCTGTTCAACTGCATTTTGATTGTGTTTCTGCTTCTGGACATGTGCACAGTTGGTATAGGACGACGTATATACTTGTACTCTGTATGCTAGACCAGGAGAAAAGTATATACCTGAGGCTAGTTTTAACCCTCGGCGCGCATGCGCAGCGAGGGTTACAGTACTTGGTGCGTAAGTGTGTCTGTCTGTTACGCCGCCACGCGCAAGAAACCGGCCAAAGAGCGATAGTAACGGGTTCAGTGCTACAGCCCAGCACATCAATTAGCGGTACCGCGCATGCGCAGTTCGCCGAGGTTTGCGTTAGAGGGGCGACTTTTGCACAAGTTTTGAAAACTAGCTTGTCCCCGAGCCTCTGAGCACTTGTAAGCAGCACAATGAACACAAAAACACTCTTGCTCAAAATGCAACCGTAATTTACTTCGGTTTTTAATTAATTAATAAGAAAATAAGGTAGTAAAAAATGGAGTGAGACAACACTTAGGGGTAAATGGTTGTTGTGCATATTAACATTCACCCTATTATGATGAAGATAATAAGCATTATTGTGAGTGTGACAAGAGCAGTAGACATGATTATTACAGTGGAAATTGCGTCTGAAGTCAGCAGCTCTACAGCGATACAAGGAGAGGTCACAAGTGTCTCCCCACACTTATTAGCTAGAGCAATGCTGAGATTACCACTGATGAGGTTATCTTTACAGAAGTCAAAGCAGAAATCAAAGCAGAAATCACTGTTTTGAATTAACATGCCATTGTAATTCAGTCCCACCACCACGTTATCTTCAAACCCATGACACGGTTGCGGTACTTGAATGGAAAAACCATCGTAGCAACTTCTGGGGCAGTTTGAGCAGTTGTATGTGCATTCAGGTAAAGGATGACAAGATCCACCTTTTTTAAAGAAAAAAAAAGTAGACTTAGCCTCAATGGCAAAAACTTACTGTTAACTTGCAGCGTTAATATCTTTGCTGTACCCATTGCATCCTTACATTCAACAGTGACCTCTTCTTTTTCATCTTCAAAGTAATGTTGTCCATCAATTTCGAATATTGTAATAAAAGGGTTAGAAGGGTTGGCCACAGCACTTACAAGCTCAATGCTTAAATCATGAGAACAATTATTAGGTCCAGTGCTTCCACTTCTTTCAAATGTTTGACAGAGAATGCCATTTTTAACAATCGAAACAGCATTAGTGTTATTGGCTTTGCAAGTAAATGTAATAGAGCCACCACAGGCTGCAGGATTTTTTCCTTCCTTCAAATAAAGCTCAACATTACCTGTAGTGCAGTTTATGTTCATGATGTGTAACAATTTAAGGAACAATGAATGTTACCTTCACACCTCCACGTCATATGCAGTAAACTTAGAACTACTGCAATGAACATATTCATAGTTGACTTGCCCTAAATAATAGTAAGATTTGGGGTGCATTAATCTTTCACTGTGTAAAGATGTCTACAACTGTGTGCAACATGCTCATAATTATTTCTGTGGACCACCATTATGTATTATAGAGAGAAGGAATGTGTATACTCAAGTAGCTATACTGATTTACAGCGCCTCAGGTATTGTTAATCCAAAGTTCAGAAACCAGTTCAACAAAGGTTATATAGTTACAAAGCAAAGACACACAAAGTTACATGACACCACCCTTAGCTACATCTTTGTCTGAAATTTGCTAAGTACATATAGGACAAAGATAGAAGAGAAGGTGTCATGTAGCTTTGTGTGTCATTGCATTGTATCTAAGCCTGTTCGCTTCCTTTATGGTGCTTCAAGCCATCTCGTTATCCCTCTTGATTTTGAAGAAATGACATCCCACTAAAGCCATTAAATATGTCAGATATATTCATATTCCTCCTCCAAACATTCGGTATGGGAGCGAAAAACCAGTGGCAATGAAAAGCACTTGGAAGTGCATAACCCTCGCCACTGTTTATTATGGAGCTTGAACAGTCAGTTGTCTCAAGGAAAGAGAAGATCACCAGAGACTGCTCTCCATTAACAGCAATATTAATTAGTGTATCAACATAGTTTCTCCTTTTTTCATGCACATCAGAGGACTTGAAGTACATGTAACCCTCCCACTTCATTCTTTATTAGAAGCTACATTCAGCAGCCAATGGCTACTAGTTACACTGTCTGTCCTTTCCTCAATGATTTCTTTACTGAACTGAAAATCTCTCACTTCTCCAGCAATCTCGCTCCTACCAGCCTCCCATCTTCTCTCTACATACACACAGGCAAGGCTAGGCGTGTAGTGTAAGTACGGCGATCATCCTCGATCTTCTTTGGCAACCGTCCGTTTCACCGCTCCAGAATCTTAATTTACCATGCATGCCTCCTACGTGATAATTGGCGAGCGGGAGCGAGCTAACCTACCTAGTGGGTCCAAACGGCGCGATTTTTCTATACGTCCGTCCGTACGTCGTGCTATTGCGCATGTGTCAGAATTACGCGCTTCTTTTTATCCGAAATAATTTCAATTTTTTTACACGCTCTTGCTGCTAGCTCGATGCCGAGCCAGGGAGAGAATTCTCGTCCATTCGGCGGCATTCGCTGCACTCTTTGGGGCCTTACCGAGGCTTGCAATCTTCGTGGTTCCAAGCTGCAAGTTGTAAGTAGCCTAGGTTGGCTCGTGCGGATATATGCTCGCTCCCGCTCGCCAAAAATGCCGTGCATTCGCCTACTAGTAATTATGCCCACGTTTCACGCTCAGAGTTGCCGCGGTTACGGAGAAAAACAGTGGTCATGTTTTGCGTACAACATTGCGGTATAATACATGTAGTGCCGAAAGAGCCGTCATTCCCGCATTCACGCTCGCTTCGCTCGGCAATTATACCGTCAAAATCAAGGGCAGGCTAGCGGCTGTCCATGGACCCTTCTAGAGCGAATCCAGACATGGTCTAGACAATCTCTTGAACGCTGGATAGTTACACTATCCCTGCGTATGTAGTATATACATGATTGACGCGAAGAGCGACACAATGAGGTATACTTACGTCCTCAATGATCTTACTGTGGTGTGGAGTTAGTTAAGGATACGATGCCTTCGTGGGCGCCACTCTAGGGAGCGTCTCTTCGGTCTGGTAGAATATAGCGCTAGGGCGCGGCGGAAACACAATAGCATAGAATGGAAACAAACTCTGCCCCATCAAAACGCGCATGCGCAGAGCGGTCTCCCTGTGGACATTTCTGTTGGCCCACACTATATAGTCTTGATATTTCTGCAAAAACTCTGTTTTCTTATGGTCATGGTCTTCACAGTTGTTTTAAATCTCTATGGAGCCCCACTCATTTGTCTTTCACATTCATCTCACTGCCTTCTCTCACTCATCCTGTAAAACCAGGGTAATGATGTTGAACTTAGCTATACTGATTAGACCCAGCTTCCCACAAATTATAATGATCATGTAAATACCATGACAAGATAATATGTTGCAGTAGCAGAGTTTTGTATGCGTAGGTGCATTCACCACAATCATGTAATCAGATTTTAGTAGATGCTGTTCATATCCATTTAACTGATACTTGCAGCTATAATAGCTAATGTGAAGATGGTGAAAGAACCACCAGCTGCTGATGAATAGGTGGTGAATGAGCCAGTTACTGTATCACCTGTAATTTGATTAATGAGAATAATGTTGCCACACAAGAAAATACAAAACAGAACAAGATTCTCGTATCCTTTGATGTTGTATAAATTATATCATTTCCAGCTTTAATAGGCCCTTTAATGAACAAGGCGACACGGTAAACTGATATCACACTTGAGGATTGTTAAAACCTCACCATTAAAAACCTTTATGCAACATTTGTTTAAATGCTTTCAAGGGAACATTATCAACATATATATTCACGGAACACCAATGGGTTCCACAGTTCTGGCCTTGGTTGCAAATTTAGTAATGGAGACAGTAGAACGAATAGCATGAGCCATCCTACCATGTTTACGGAAATGTTTTGTGGAGGATGCCATCACTGCACTAGACAAAAACTTTGGATCATGAAAAGTATATTTATAGCATACTAGCCACGGAGAATAGAAAAGAAAGAAAGAAAACCAGAAGTCCCCCTCCACCCCCCATCCCCCACCCATACACAGACACAAACAACACTGTAGGACACCAGGTGCCCAGACTTGAGAACTGGGGCGGTGGGTTAAAGAGCCTTTTATGGCATGCCAACTCTCCCCACACACCTAGTGTCCAAACCGAATGACAAACAATCACAGTGACAGTTACTATACAGAGGTAGTATATATATTTGTGTATAAAAATAGAAAGAACTGATCTTAATAAAGTAAAACGAAAGAGGCAGTAAAAAAACTCTGTATAATAGGTCCGTAGAAAAATAGACAAAATAGAAATATATATAAAATCTGGAAAGAGAGAATAAAACTTACATGCAGACCAGGCTCATGAGCACCAGAGCGGCTTTGCAATGATTCTATTTAGTGCACAGTTGTCTGCACGCGTTGTAAAATAAAAAAACGTATCGTTTAAATAGATCTGCGTGAGTAAAATTAAAATTAAAAAACATCGTTTAAATAGATCTGCGTGAGACGTGGCGACTCTGGAACGATGGTAAACATACACCATCTTCAATATGTCTGCGTACGCTACAACCATATTTGTCTACAAACCACACATGTTTCTAAAAACTACACACAATGTTTAGTACCTGAATCCTTGGTGAACAAGTCTTTGAGTAAGTTTGTAGTGCCTCACCGCAAAATGAGTATAGTTACTGCATATTCTACTTATACGTACAAGCTGGGAAACATAAACTCCATATGCAGGTCCAGATGGAATGTTAGAAGAAAGATATGGAAAATTAACAATGTTGAAATTGAAATTGTCTCGCTTGTCATATAATGCTGTTAAATATTTCCCATTTTCTATAGTTACTAGTATATCTAAGTACGACAGTTTTGTTTCACACTCCGTAGTTTTCTTCAGTTGTAGCTGGCAGGGGTATATGTCATTTATCGCTGAATCAAACGCAGTATTATTTAGTGTTAAAAGATCATCAATGTATCTCATTGTATTATTGAATTTTTTAGCTAACACCAAATTTGTTTTAATTAGGCCCCTTACACACTGATATTCATAATAGAAGAGAAACAAATTAGCTACTAATGGTGCACAATCCGTGCCCATCGGAATCCCCACACATTGTCTGTACACTCTATCGCCTATACTAACATAAATATTATTAACAATCAGATATTCCACATACGCAACAAGCTGTTCTTCAGTTATGTTATGTTTAGATGACGGTGATGATGGTGTGTTTGACCAATATGCTCTTCCTGCATGGTCGGCTATAAGGAACACACTGTCTCTCACTTTGTAGGCCTCCTTGATTAAAGATTGTAAGGCTTGTTTGAGCAAACAATGAGGAATACTCGTATATAACGTTGAAAAATCATAACTATCATGTACAGCAGGGTTCTCGTCAAAGCGCAGAAGAGTGGTGCAGCACCACGCTATAGTTAAACTCCACCGCTCTGTTGGAATAGCCCGCCACTGTACGCAGGTGCACTTGAATAACTATATTCATAGTTTATGTAAGTACTATAGTTTACATAAGCTGTTTTCACAACTGAACCATTCATGATGAGGTTGGACACAGCATTGTGTTTTAAATTTTGCCACATTTGCCGCAAACTCACACAGATTCAATCTCTGAGAGTCTAAAAGCTAAAATTTTCCTAGGGGAGCATGCCCCCAGACCCCTAGGTGACCAATAGCACCACGCTATGCTTTTTTTACCTAGCTAGAACACTGTACAGAAATTTACTAACGCTGAGCCATCATGTATTTCATTTCCACCAGAAAATGACACCATTTGGTATTTAGAGAAGAAGATGGTTCCATAGCAACTACAGTCTGTTGGAAGCTGACACGTAAAGGACAATACCTTACTCCGCATTGCCCACAGAACTACCTGCAGGCTAGAAACAAGCCGAGAGAGTCAGGAAAAAAATTGAGAAGACCAGAATCCATGCTTGATAATTTATTTGCTGAATTTTCTAAAACCTTCTCAAGTGTCTGCTCTCAATGTTATCACAAAGACCTTATCAGAGCGTCGGTAGACGCTCTATGTAGGGATGACACGAGTGAAATCTCACGTGATCCGCATACAAAACGCCTCGAAACTGCGGCGAAATGGCTAGCTATGCCTTCAAAACACACCACAACACTCACGGGTCCATATCTACACCTATACTATGTCGAAAAGTTTCATACGTCCCTGCATTCTGGACACGAGAATCCGCTCATCACGCGATTTCTATTGTCCGTGTCATCATTCTTCTCTTCCTTCTTCCTTCTTCTTTAACCCGCTATCCTCCTTACCAGTACCATCTGAAGCGCTGATTTTTTCACTGAACGTCTCC